TGGGAGGGTCTTAAAAATTTTTTTTTTTTTTTTTTTTTTTTTTTTTTAGTGACCCTCTTGAGGCCTCTGCAGTAGCTGATCTTCAAAATGGACTGGTAAGAAAGTTATCACCTCTTCATATCACTTATGCTTTTAAAGAGCCAGAGAGCAAGACATGGCTTTGTCTGGGCCTCCATCAATTTACTGAGAAATAGCCGAAGTTTCATGAAATGGGTTTCTTTCTCAGCACTGTTTTACATCTAAACTGCCCACATAATGTAACATAATCCCTTAGTAGCTTCACAGAAGCAGCAACCTGTTTAGTCATGGCCTCTGTCAGGTTAGTGTTGCTGGCTGTGTCTTCCTGACCAAGTGATGCCTCTTTTTTAAATTATTTCTTGGCCATGTGTCCATTGGGAAAATAAATTAGGTGAAATCTTGACAATGGGGTCACCGATAGCAATACAAATTTCACAGTTTTCTTCTTTAGTTCTTCTCAAAAAATATTTTGGGTGGGTACTGTAGCTGTATTAAAAGATAAATGCAGATAGTTGCAGTTGTGGAGCTTGTACAAAGCAATGACAGGCTGGCAGTATCTGCAGCTGTCCGCCAGTGTTCAAATGTAATTGCACATGGAGCACTTACCTGCGGTTGGGGACAGATGATTATCCTCTGGATGCAAACCGCTTGCATACCTGCCTTGCATTGGTTTGCAACGGCAGGTAATTGCTATATGTGCGATTTACATCCGAACACCAGCGAACAGCTGCTGACACTGTCAGCCTGTCATTGTTTTGTACAGGTTCAGCGGCCACAACTATCTGCATCCACCTGTGAATCCATAATACGAAATCACCTGCACTCCATACAGCGTACAGACCTTGCTGAAAGGTTGGTGCTTGAAGTGACAACACTGATGGCGCTGTGACAGATACAGTCCATAATAGAAGTCACCAGCACTCGATGATATGTGCAAGAAGTAAAGCACTTTTTATTGAATTGTCATATTGTCACCTGCGTCATACAGCCAACTTTTCGGGGTCACGCAGGGTCCCTTCTTCTGGGCGACAGTCACTATGTCTCCCTGAAGAAGGGGCCCTGCGTAGCCTCGAAAAGTTGGCTGTATGACGCAGGTGACAATATGATAAAAAGTGTTTTACTTCTTGCACATATCGAGTGCTGGTGACTTCTATTATGGACTATCACCTGTGAATTCAGTCGCAGGAATCCATTGTATTGGAAAAGCGGACAGTTTTTGCAGTGTAATTGAGGACTAGGCAACAAGGTAGAGTTTACTAGTAGGATCCGGAGTTAGAGGTGATTTTATAGAAATGTTTTATTTTCTCTATTCCAGAATGAAGATGAAGCTCTGCAGAGGGCTTTGGAGCTGTCCTTACTGGAAGCCGGAATTAATAATCTCCTGACAATGAGGTCAGTTGTTTTCTAAATTCTGCCTGCATGTACTCCTAGAATGAGATCCTAATAGGTTGGACTTGATGGACTAATGTCTTTATTCAACCTCAAATACTATGTAATTCCATTGCGTGTCTGTTCTCAGCATTTTCAGGTTCTCACAGAATTACCTTTTGTATAGTTTTGCATAACTGTTATACCTTGAAGCATTCTCTTATAGAGGGACCATAACACACAACTGTTATTATTTGCATATTGGTGTTTGAGATCTGTGCCTGCCATGAGAATTAGATCTGCTTTGCTTCTTATGACAAGTAATCATGTTTATGGCTCAGCAGAGAACTGATATCTGTCTTGACATGTAACCGTCAAAGCCGCAAAGAATTTAAAGTGAACTTGTTGAGAACCTGCTGCATGCTTTGCATGAAAATCATCCAACGTCAGGCACAACAGCATGCTGCTCAGTTAATTTCTTCATTGAAGTGTATGTAAACCATAACAATGGACTTATCTTATTTTTAGATTGCAAGCCTCGAGGGCAGGGCCCTCCTTACCATCTTGTCTTGAATTGTATTGTGATTGTAATGTCTTCCTCATATTGTAAAGCGCTGCGCAAACTGTTGACCACTGTCCTGAAATCATTAGTCTGTATTGTTTTAGAAAAACTGTCGCATGACAATAAATAAAAATGTATCAGTACTCGTACTTGTAAGTACTCGGCAAGTACCAGTACTCGTACTCGCAAAACTGCTATCTGTGCATCCCTGTATTTATATTTATAAAAATACGCTTCTACAAATCCCAGGAGCTCCGTGTGCTCCTTACAAATGACAGCTGCAACCTAATTTTTGAATTTTTCTCTAGTTTAGTCTTGGAGCTCAAAAGTATCGGTACATGTACTCGTACTTGTACCAAGTACTGTACTTGGTATCTGTGCAACCGTAATAATTTGCTTCTTGTAGTCTGTCAAATAGAACATTGGAAACATTTTCTTATATCTATTAAGTTCAAATAAAACCTTGATGGTGTCAGAAATGTATTCATGTCCTGTGCTCTCTGCACACTTCCTGCGTTCTTTCAGAGTGCCCTCGTAGCTCTTATTTCAGGCTACAGATAGTGTTGGACACTGGAATTCTGGGAGGATTCGCACTTATCAAACAGATATAACAAAACACTTTTCAGTGAATATTTAACAGATCAAAAGATAACAAATTAGAGAAGTTCATTGTTGAGGTTTAATGATTCATATCTCTGAACTGTTTTATTTTTTCTCCACAGACATCCACCCATTGACACAGTAAAAAGCACGGGACAGTGAACTCTGAGATGCTCTTGATTGTTGGGATACAATGAAAAGTTTTTTCTTTTTCTTTAATATTCTAACGGTGATTGCATTTGGTGTCCAAGCGCATTCCCCTTGTGAAATAATACAGGAGCTTGTATATAGAATAATGACCGCTTTAAACTGGTTGGTTGTCACGAGTGACTCTGGATACGCTGAAAAACCTTGTAATTAAATACGTCTCCATTGAGTCCTGTCAACATTGTAACAAAAATTGCTGTGGGCTCTTTAAAGTCAGACCCACTTGGGGTCCTGTACCATAGATATCTGTTCATCTGGGGTAACTATGGAGAAGGGACCATCCCTGGTTTACATTCAGACATGGTGTAATAAGTCGCACAGCTCCTAGCTAGGGAACGATCTATAGTGCTGCCTGGGCACTGCAAAGGGAGGCTAGTAAAGTATTGTTTTTTTCTAGAGACCTTCTATAAAGGGCAGGTCTACCTTCCACTAAACCATCGTAAATCCCGCCCCAGTCCTAAATTCTGGTATACACGCTTCTATTTTCTTTGTTCAACCTGCCAGATGAACGAAGAAAATAGAACAGATTCTTCCCTCAATGCTTACAAGCGTTGGCTCAGGAATCACCTGCTGTTTCCTTTGTATTCTGACAGCGGCTGCTGTCAGAATACCCAAACCGAGCTGGCATTTCATTGGTTGCAAGGTCTGTTTGGGCAACAATATTCCAGCATGCTCCTTCCATCAGCTGATCGAGGGATGCCGGTTGGAATGCTGACAGCGGGATCCACTCATTAAATTTCAGCTGGTTCATCAAGAAGCATGTATACATGGCCTTAAGCTAAACTGCACTTACACCCCCCTCAGTCAGCTGTTTGCTTACCCCTTTTGCAGAGACGCTACTCGCGCCTATGTTTACATCCTTCGTGCTGGCCACACCTGTACACCAAGTCCCCACTGGCATGAATGGAGCCATATACCAAGTATCTGCAGTCACCATGTATGATCCCATTTAAGTCACCGGGACTTGACACACAGGTGTGGCCAGTGCTAAAGAGAATTGTATCCTCAAGGACGTATGCAGCTTGGGTGTGGGTGATGGGAGGGGGTTGTGCAGGTTTGCTTAGAAGAGCTGGAAGAGTGGATTATCAGTTTAGTTAAAGGTAGACCTGTCCCTTTTAGTTAATCTATGATTGAATTATATAGGTGATTGAAAGGCAGCAGGTAGACCAATATACCTGATAAGAGCTTTGACCAGTATAATTCCCCATTGCTGCTGATTCCAGTTTTGGTGATTTGCTTCCTTTCAGCTGAAAGTGATAACTAGTTTTCTTGGAAACCTGTACTGAGAAAAATACGGAGGCTGCCACTGCTGACCTTCTGAAAATGCTAGGTGCCTGGTTGTCTCTGCTTCCACAGTATCTGCAAAAGTGACCGTGAACAAGCACAGACATTACAAAGTCAGAGTAAATAATATATAAAAAAAACGAGGAAGAGATGGGAGTATACGAACAGACCGCGCAATCCAGAGAATTCCAATACTGTAGACTTTATTGAAATTCACAACAAATCCAGTATATCAGTGAATAAAAATGTATAAAGCAACAAATGCCAGCACTGCACACCCCCAACCAACTACAACCTCTGCAACCTCACCTTAGAGGTTGTAGTTGGTTGGGGGTGTGCAGTGCTGGCATTTGTTGCTTTATACATTTTTATTCACTGATATACTGGATTTGTTGTGAATTTCAATAAAGTCTACAGTATTGGAATTCTCTGGATTGTGCGGTCTGTTCGTATACTGCTATAGTCTAAGGTGGAGATGCACCTATTGGACCAGCACCTGGGGAGTCCTGATGGTGCAATTGGAGCGGTGAGATTTCCTTTGGCTCTAGGAAGAGATGGGGCTTTAACAGTGTATAGAAAGAAAATCAATTACATTTATTGAAATAAAACACATACTCAAATAAGCCAGAATACCAGAAGGTAAAACCACATTAAAAGGCAGCGCAAGTTGTATAACAATCGCCTCGGAGGCAAAAAACACAGATGGTAATATCTTGGTTACATCCTTCTTCCTGTTGGGTGTTTGTTTACATTTCGATGTGAATTCCAAGGGTATGACTTTGTCTTCTACGCGTTTCACCCTTTGCCAGGGCTTGCTGAGGAGAGGTGTTGTTTTAAAACCACTTTGAGCTTGATCATTGGGTCAGGAGAATGAGCTATAGTATGCATCTATGCAGGGAGCCCCGGAGGGGAGAGAAGGTCACTTGACGCCACCAAATGTAAGCGGCTACCCCACCTTCCATAGATACCTGTCCGGAACCACAGAAACAAAGTTCAATTCTGATCTTAATCCATACAGTAGAAGCCTCCAGAAATGCAGCCGCTAAAAGCTGTTCTAATAAAGTCAGAGTAAAGCTAGAACTCCTCATCTGCATTCTTGCTTTAGGTCCGTAACTAAGAAACGACTAAATCCATTGGATCAGCATGACAGCCAGGAAATGTGCATTTTTAGAAGGCTAGGTCAGCAGTGAGAGCCTCTTTATATCCCCATTACGTTCATGTATAAGGTTTTCTTTTTTGTTTCTTTATTGCTTTTAAATGCTTTTTGTTTTAAAGGTGTGTATATTTTCTAATGTATTTTATCAGATAATTTGTAAATATTTTATTAAAAGTTGTAATAAATATTTGATATTTCCATATTGTTTTGTTTTTTTTGTATGTGCCTCACTGTTCTAAATTCAGTGGCCTGAAGAAAGCTTGTTAATGGCTAGTACCACATACTGTCAATCTGTAAAAAAAAAAAAAAAAAAAGAACTGTATAGATCGAAGCTGACCACCTCTGATATTTCCATATTGTTTTGTTTTTTTTGTATGTGCCCCACTGTTCTAAATTCAGTGGCCTGAAAAAAGCTTGTTAATGGCTAGTACCACATACTGTCAATCTGTAAAAAAAAAAAAAAAAAAGCACTGTATAGATCGAAGCTGACCACGTCCCATAGAGATGGAAACCTTTGAAAAGAACTGTTCTGTTTATGGAGTCCATATGCATCATAGCATAGGGTCCAGATCAACAGAAAGCTAATGTTGAAGCCTTTCCCTATATCTCTTCCCTGTACCTTACTAATTTCCAATGTAGTATATAGTTCAAAATGCGGTATATAGGGAAAAGTAGAAACACTTCTATGTGCAACGCTTTAGGGCAACCTGTCAGGATATAAATCTGGGTGTTTGAGTTTTTTTGTTTTTTTTTTTAAATCCTAACCATTCATACGTTAACATTTCCTCTGACCTAGCCCAGGATACTGGGCATCATAAGGTGACAGAAGAGAAGGTATCTTTGACCTTTTCAGGATTTAAAAGTAGAAGAGACGTCCTAAAAAAATAAAACAAAGTTTCTAGGACTTTATCTCTCTTCGCCCCCTTCCCCACCATGCCGCTCCCCTGCCCCTATTACTCGCTGTCAAAACGACAGCTGGTATGATACCCAGAAATTGCTATGTATTGCAGGAGCAGCTTTTAAAATGCAGCTGCTTTAGTGTAAAATGTCTCTCGCAGATCGTCTGGAAGTGTCATTGTAGATCAAAGGTGTATGTGTATATATGTGTAATATATACACATACACACTATATATATATATATAATTACACAAACACACATACACACACTGGGTATAGGAAAAAAAATCACCCCCCTTTACACATTTTGTTCCTTTGCAGCCGGAAATGAAATCGCACACAATTTTTGTTTTATCCAGATTTCTTTACTCATTGCAACTTCTAACATCCAGCACTTATAACATCCATGTAAAAGATATAACACCAACATGTCAGAAAAAAAAATTCAAAAACAATAACTGAGATGGAAAAAGATCGTCCCCTCCTAAAAATGACTTGTAAACTTGAACAGGTGTAGTTAATCACCTTCTCAATGGCACATGAAGCCATTTGGCTTTCAACTGTAATCAGCTGTGGTGATTTTGATGAGCTCAGCATGAAAATGGCTTTCCTGGAGGATTTCAGTCCCTGGTAGTGCAACTGAAGCAAACAATCAACTATGGGTGGCAAGGCACTGTCAAAAGATCTCTTCGGTAAAGTTGTGGACAGCCACAAGTCAGGAGATGGATACAGAACATTTTCAAAGGCTTTAGAAGCACAGTGAAGTCTATTATTAAGAAGTGGAAGGTATTTGGTACAACACAGACCCTCCCTGGATCAGAATAGAGACAAAGATTACCAGCACTCAGCGATATCTTTCAATATGTCCATTTAATTGGACAAAACGTCACAGTAACAAAAGCCAACGTTTTGGGGCCACACAGGGACCCTTCCTCGGCGAAAAGATGTGCGTCACATCTTTTCGCCCTGAGGAAGGGACCCTGTGTGGCCCCGAAACGTTGGCTTTTGTTACTGTGACGTTTTGTCCAATTAAATGGACATATTGAAAGATATCGCTGAGTGCTGGTGATCTTTGTCTCTATTCTGTGTCTGCACGGCGCCATCCGTGGTCATCACTGCGAGCACCATCTTTTTCATAGCACAGGACTGCTGTGAGGTGTGCGGAGGGTTCCTCCTATCTATCCACCTCCCTGGATCAGGATGTCGCTCCAAACTGGATGAAAGAGCCAGGAGGGAACTAGTCAGAGAGGCTACCAAGAGGCCTACAGCAACTCTGAAGCAGTTGCAGGAATTTATGACAGAGTGGTCATAGTGTGCATGTGATGACAATGCCAGAAATTCTCCACAAATGTGGCTTGTATGGGGGGAAAAAAGCCACTCCTCAAGAAAGACCACATGCAGTCATGACTGAGCTTTGCCAAAATGCACCTTGGAGATTAAAACCTATACTTTTACTTGAGGAAAAGTATTGGTACTCATACTCAGTCTTGAAAAAAATGGTATCAGTGGATGCCTAATCCTTACTCTATTAAAAAAGTTTTAACTATACATACACTTTAAAAAGCTCTAGGAACAATCCTGCAGCCAGTGCTGATACTTTTTTTAGGTTTTAGTGACAACTCCAACCTAACATACCGTATTTTTCCGT